TTTTTCCAAATGATGTTGGAAGGTCATTTTCAAGGTTAATTTATTTCTGAAATACTCATGTCACTGGTGCAGAAGCTCAGCTTCTGTTCATACTCGCTGGGATTTCTTCACGTTCAGCATGTGCTCGTCTCTGCAAGTAGAACAAGGCTGTGCAGTCTCACTTCCGGCTCTCGTGGTGCACACTAAGGCTATGTATACACTGCACTGCCACTCGAAATACAAGATGCAATTTGAGCTACACATATTGTGAATGTTATTTCAATCTTATTTTGAAATAGCTTATTTCATACTTTGGCGCCATCTACCCAAATTTCAAGATACCCCACTATTCCGAAACGTCCCTTCCTCCTTGTGGAATGAGGGTTACAGGGAGGTTGGAATAGCGAGCCTGTTAGATTTCAAAATAACAGGCTTGCTGTGAAGATGCGGGACAGCTATTTCGGGACACTCTGGGGCAGACATAGCCTGAGAGAACATCTGTCTGCAGCCCACTGGGCCCATTCAAGCAGCACTCCCAGCTCAAGGTTCTGTAAAGTCCTCCATTGACAGACAGACAAACAAACCAACCCCAGGGATCTAGCACAGGTCAGCACCAGGCCCATCACACAGAGAGGGGCAGGAATGAGTCCAGAACCCTCCCAGCCCTGCTGCCGGCCTCGCTCCTTCACTGTCGACGTCCCCGCGATAATCCAGTGCTTTCTCCCCACAGCTGCTGCCCCCCAGGGAGCAGACAGGATAGTCGGGGGATATGAGTGCAGCCCCCATTCGCAGCCCTGGCAGGTCTCCCTTAATGTCGGATACCATTTCTGCGGCGGATCGCTCATCACAGACCAGTGGGTGGTGTCGGCTGCCCACTGCTGGTACTAGTAAGTAAGGGACTCGTGTCTGTGTCTGCGTGGCTGGCAGCACCAGGAGGGTGACGCAGACTGGCGTTGGAGGGGCTCTGAGCCACGGTTCGTCCCCAGCCCAGATGCTGTGGGAGGTGTCACTGGGCTGCTACTGCAGCCTCTGGAGGGTGGGCTGGAGCCAGGGCCATGCAGAGATGCTCTGAGCTGGCATTTGTTTCCCAGCCCCAACTCCATGCATGTGATCCTGGGAGACCACAACCTCTACATCTTCGAACACACCGAGCACCTGATGAGCATCGAGACCATCGTGTGGCATCCCAGCTACGACTACCAGACCATGGACCACGACATCATGCTCATCAAGCTGGCCCACCCTGTCCAGCCTGACACCAACGTCAAGCCCATTCCCCTGCCGACTGCCTGCCCGGCTGCTGGCGCCTCCTGCGTGGTGTCGGGCTGGGGCAATATTCTCAGTGACGGTGGTGAGTGCACCTCTCCCGCTCTCAGGCTGCTCGGCACGGCACGGCGCACGCTGAGCCAGGCGCTGCGGCTGCCCGACAGCTGCTAGTCCAAGCACAAGCACAGAGAGGGCAGAGTTGGGGGAGTGAGCAAACAGGAACATTGCACAAGTGGGGCACCATGGCCTGAGCTGCCGGATCTCACCGAGCCCCTTCCACGACGCTGGCCCTGCACTGATACTGCCCATCCCTGGCCCTCTGGCAAGGCCAAGAGGCTGCCTGAGCACTTCACAGGCACATGGAGTTCGTGCAAGGCACCTGTTCACATGCCAGGGGCATTGCCAACGAAAGCTAACCTGTCCTCACCTGTGCCCCTTCCCCACCCCTCAGGGGCCCAGCCCATGTAGACAAGGGGAATGAAGCCAGAGCTAACAATTCGTCTCTGTCTTTCAGTGTTCAGCCCTTACAACCTGCAGTGTGTTGACGTCCCCATCCTCAGCCAGGAGCAGTGTGAGGGCTCCTACCCTGGGAGGATCACCAGCACCATGCTGTGTGCTGGCTACCTGGAGGGAGGCAAGGATGCATGCCAGGTGAGGGCTAGTGGACATGGCCCTGGTGGGGGCAAGCACCTGGGGGTACAAGCAGCATAAGGGACAGGGGAGCGACAGTGACATTAACAGGCCATTCGTGTGCTCTCAACTTACCCACAGGGAGACTCTGGTGGGCCGCTGGTCTGCAATGGGGAGCTGCAGGGCATCGTGTCCTGGGGGATTGGTTGTGCCCAGAAGGACCAACCTGGTGTCTACACCAAAGTCTGCTCCCTGCTGTCCTGGATCCAGAGCACCATGGCTGCCAACTAGCTCAGAAAGGACGCTTCGCATCTGGGAACACAGAGCCGCTCAGCTCCGCTGGGCCCAGGCGAAGGGAAGAGCTGGGAGGTTCGCTGCCACTGTGATCCCTAGCTAGCGCGGGTGCAAGAGATGGCAATAAATCAGCTGCCACTGCATATTCTCCCTGTCTGCTTCGTGCACTGGGTCCTGACAGTTGCCAGCTAATTAATAATAATTAACATAGCTGTCACGGGGTGCGACCTCAGTTCCATGGTGCCTCCTCGAGGTCACTCACAGCCAGCGCTCCTGCCTCACAGCCCTGCTGCCTCGTGTCCCAGCCTCTAGTGAAGATCTGCTGGTCCAGCTCCGTGTCCCCTAGAGCCCATAGTGCCCCTTCCTTCTGTCTGATCTCGGTCAGTGC